TTACTCTTGCCACGGACTGTGCGGGACGGCGCTTCGCCTTGACTAATATGCAGGGGCGTCGGAACCGGTGCGGCAGGTGCGGCCAAAGCCGCACCAATAATTTTCGATTTTTTATTTTATTTTTTTTAGACGGGACCTGGCCTCTTGTAATTGTACGGGCAGAAGTAACACAATGATATGTCATAATATTACAAGTATTCTTATTTCTCATATTATTCTGTAGCATTCAAATATGGCCTTTTAGGCCCAATTTTCAAAAACATTTCCCAGGGGAGGACCCCCGACCCCCTCTCACACTTTCGCCGCACCAATGATTATGTTAAACTGCTTCCGACGCCCCTGGTATGTAATTACGTACGTAAATTCTGCTGGGATGACGACTACATGTACACCATAGGTCAGTGGTTAGAGCATCGCTAGCTACAAGCGAGGGTCCCTGGTTCTAGTCCTGGTGGTGACAGTCAATTTTTTCTTCAGAATTTTCCCGTTTGTGTCTTTCCCTCAAACTAGTCAAGATACGTAAATTACAAACACACTCACCGAATTCCTCCGGAAAGAAACACGGAAGAGACGCCGCAAAGCTGTGCTCGCTGTTCACTGTAGTGGAACGCGGCTGCCCGGCTTCGTAGCTGTCCGTGACGGTGTTCTCTCTGTCGGTCGATACGATTCACGTAACGACGTGCTAGAATTCCAGCAGCCCGGTTAGCGCAGTGCCTGTTTGATCCGCGGATTCAGCGGCGAAATAAATTGCAAAGAGCACTCTACTGAGCCGGATTCGCGGAGGACTCTCTCATTTGCATTCAAATTTTATAAAATCCACGAGCACCGGAACCCTCATCTCATCACATTTTGTGGCCTTGTGTGTTGAATCGTCCTGTCCAGTTCTGTGAGCACACAAGCATAGCCAAACTTGAGTTCGAGAGCCTGAACAAGGTCCGAAGATAAGATCAATGCTGTTGTTGTACGAGCGACCTTGCCGCCCAAACAAGACAGTCTGAGAGATTTGGGAGAATGTTCAGGACAAAGAAGGTAGCGCCGCAAACAGAGGAATAGGGGTAGCACAAACGTGTGTCACGGTAAGCAAGGGCAGTGCGGCACTTATGCAACATAGTCCAAACATATTTGCCGACTACAAGAGTTGAAGGAGGGGCGAAAAGAAACTCACCTCGTGGAAGACGGACGCGTAAGTGGCGCTTGGAGAAAGAACACTGGACGCTAGTGAAAAGGACGCTAGTGGACGGCCTTGCTCCGTGTCACGACGGCCGTTATCGCGTACATCAAACGCGGCGGAAATCGCAAATCGATCACAAAGGACAAGGTCGGGCAACGTCTACACTACAGCAAGGAATGTGTTTCCGGATGCAGCCCGAGTCGTGTTCTGTCTGAATATGAGAGGGACGGTAAGGGCCGTTTCACACGAGGTATACATGGCTTTTCACGAATGGGCGTTCTAGGCACAGTACACAGCGCGTGATTTCACACGAGTGTCGCAACATGCTATTCAAGCAGCAGTTGCCATGGCAGCTTTGACCTGCCTCGCACAGAAGTCGTAAAATACGGAATCCGCACGCGAACGCGGGAGTTTTGAACACAAAATAATAATAATTATTATTAGTTTGGCAAGGAGATGTTCTCTCCCTGATTCTCGTTTTCTTTGATCGCCACAAGGAGAGAAAGATGGACGGACGAGAGAGGTTGCAAAGGATGGCGAGGCGTAGAAGGGCTGCATTGCCCTCGCTTGTTCAAAGTGTAATTTCAAGTTTTTCTCTGGATTCAACCATCCTGAGCGGAACGCAGCATTGAGTTTCTCGGCGATCTCCCTTTCCCTCACAAAGTCACAATACGCTTCACCATCTGGCCACTTTTTGATTTTTGATAGTCGGCCCACAACTCAATAAGTCTAGCCTCCAGGTCATCAGAGAATATTTGGCGAGGCATTGTCCGAAACGGAAGGCACAACCAGCAACCAGCAATGAAAGCAAACAGAAGCAAAAAAAAGCAAACACGACGACAGATCACAATGCAAGGAAAACGAAGTTTGTCAGTAGAACGCTGGGTATATCCTGCTTTCTACACCCCTCCTAGATCCTGGTCTTGCTGAAAACGTACACGATGCGTTTCACATTTCGCGCCAAAAGTGCTCCATCTCCTAGGGAACATAACCGGAAACGTGACATGTACGCGATTTTGTACCTCGTGTGAAACGGCCCTAAATCTGTCCCCCGTCATAATCACGATGGCAAGGTTTCGCATACGAGCCGAAGACTCAAGCGCAGGAGAGGTACATGTAGATCTACAGTACATGCAGTCTGCATGTAGATAGAGAGCTACCAAAAAAACATCTGCACTACTACACTGTAACATGATTGTACTCGCAGCGACCGTACAGTCCCGCTAGTAGTAGAGAGGCTGTCTCCGAGGCAGTGTTTTCAATGCACGTGATGCTGAACCAGTTACATGTTCCCTTGTACTGTTGTAGCGCCTGCTGTGCCTTTCCCCTGTGGACAGGTGCCACAAGAGCCGTAGGTCACAAACTGACAAAGACTGAAAGTGAAATGTTAGTGAGCGCAGGAAAGTCATCGCGGAATCAGCCCTTGCCAGAGATGTCTTGTCAGTTTGATCTGATACTGCGGGCCACATGCACTGGTGTATCGTCTTGTTGGCATCGCACCACGTCAGTAAGTCATGTAAAACCTAGCCACTTCTGGGCGCTCTGGCACGTCGATTCGTAGATCTACTTCCAAGTCTGCCAGGCGCCAAGAGACCACAACTCTTGCATACCGTCCCGGGGATTTCCCGGTCCATTTCCCTGCTCCCGTGATGCTTGTGAGAACAAAGCTAAAGAAAGACGTCCTCTGTCAGTACTGTACTAAAACAGTACAAATAATGACTAGTCACTGAGCCCATCCCACGACCCTATGGCTATAATACTATAGGCTATTATTAATAGCCTATGATGGCCTATCTCTGGCAAGTATTTTAGTTCAAGTAGCAAGCCACGCCATGCATAGCTATATGTAGCTAGCTACTACTAGTAGTAGTACTAGTAGTGCTTACATCCTACGCCAGCCATCATCGACACCAGGCAATCAAGCAATGATTGCATACGCATCAATGGAGGACGCTGTGAGGCACAGGATCTAGGAGGGGAGCTCCAAGGTCCTGTTTAGTCACCACCCTCCAGCAAGACGTCAAGTTCACCGCCGTCGCATTGAAGACGAGCCGGCACCTCGAAACCCTAAGAAGTTGTGCAGTTGACCGGCAGAAGTGGAGTAAAATTTGTTCTGCGGTGGTGTGAACACACATGACCGGCTGTGATTTTGGTGTGGACGCACATGACTAACTGTGATGACCAATGATTTCATTTTCATTTATCTTATTTTTTATATTTTTTTCTAAGAAAAAGCTTTGCTGATGTGGTGTATTGGAACTCATGTGAAATCTACACCGTGATTGTTTTCGTCAAATATCATTATCTTCTCTTTTCTCTCTCTGCCGCGGTGCTTTTTGTCACTCCATTGTCGTGAGTTCCCTTTGGAACGTAGACGAGAATTATTATTATTATTATTTACTAGTAGTAGCTAGCCATAGCCCGGGCATAGGCCGAAAAAACATCAAGTGTGACTGTACTTCGAAATTTGATAATTTTTAATTTAAATTGTACTTTGTAGAAAGGCACGTCGACCGAAAATCGGCGTGAGCAGTGTGTGAGCAGTGTGAGGTGTGTGAGCAGTGTGAGCAGTGTGAGGTGTGTGAGCAGTGTGTGAGCAGTGTGGGTTCATCAGTGCATGGAGTCACTAGTAGTACAGCACTACTGCTGTACCGTGTGTTCTAGAGTAGAGGGCATAGTTTTTCTTTTCTTTTTATCATCTCGTATTGTGGTGAAAATGTTACCAAAGCCAAGGTTTGGAGTTTTTTCTTCTTCTTTTCTTTCCCCTTTTCCTGTTGCCATTCACATTTTATATCCTTCAATTTTGCTGTTTAACTTTTGTTCATTTTTGAATTCTTTGCTCTCATTGTCTTCTTGCATGCATTTATCATCATTGCTTTGTGCGTTCAATAAAACGCCGTTTAGTAGTTACTAATGTAGAACTAGAACATGTACATGCACATGTAGCTCTACTTGCCCTGCTTCACAATGTCACATTGAATTCGTTCACAGTACCCCTCGCACACCTTGCACGCACATGCTACAACACACTCAAAAACTTTGATTTGAGCGTGTCAGTTTCAAGTGCAATCTACATGTACATGTACATGATGTAGGGAAGAAGTTTTAGTTTCTATACAAACTGGAAAGCATTAATTATCAATACTGGCCATGTGGGAGCTGGCTCCCAATCTCAAACCAGATCCGGATCACAGTGTATTTTTGCCAGAACACTTGCTCTTCCATTAAACATGTCATAGCTAGTAGAATCCGCAACCAGCTACTACTTGAGAACGGTTTTATTCACAACACCAATTGGGTCACACGCGTGAAACCATGAAGACGGAGTCAAAGCAACTACTACTACCGGTACTAGTAGATCTACCTGCTACCGTATTCCGTGACCGATCCTTTCAATGTTCTAAATCTTTACTTTGCCTTTTCTACCTGGACTTCTCATTGGTTTCCCTTTTCTCTCTAGCTCTTCTCTTGTACCTTCTCGCTATTCTTAAAATGAGGGGCTTTGAATAAAACTAGCATTATTAGTAGATCTACCTGAAAATGGCATGCATACACTTGCTTGCCCGCACAGCTCGGCAGTTTTGCATAATGATATGAACTTTTTCAGAGTAGGTACGATCATGTACATGTAGATCTACTGTACGAAATGCAGCGTGACTCTTGCATCCAAACGCTGGGTAGGAATCGTCACCCCCCCCCCCCCCCCCCCCCCCCCCCCGGCCCACCACTCAAGCACATGACCTGTACAGACGTCCATGATTGCAGTACACTCGTACAATGTGCCTCGTTTATCCGGGCGATCCGGGACCAGCCACTGCCCGCAACTAACTTTGGAAAGTCCGTAACTCCGAATCACATACATTTTGATGGTCAAAGACCATGCATATTATAATGCCGTGTGACCACGCAGTGGAAACACCAACCAATGTGAAGAGAGCGGGTAATAGGCTGATAGCCAACCGTGCACGGCGATAAAGATAAGTAGGGGTTAGACGGGAAACGAAAGAATAGCAAAAGCAAGAGCAGCAGCAGCAACTCCGTGAAGACAAAGGATGTCGATAGCCAGTCAGGAGCAACAGAGACGTAAAGGACATGTGGATAATGTGGCTCTTGTGAAAAAAATAGAAGAAAAAAAGCTTCTGCATCAGTGCGGCTAGAGACTGGGGGAATACGTATCTATTATTGGCTGAGAAAGAGGTCGGTATGGGGAAACATAAACCAAGAAAAAGACTGAGGTCCGCCGAGGTCTTTTACCTCACTACAAAGTGAAACAAAGCGATAATCATGCAATCTGTCCATACAAAGGCAGGGATAGCGCTAGGCCTTGGCGGATAATGCTCGAAAAGGTGGCAGATTCTGCTCGAAAAGCAGTGAAATTGGCAGAACCATACAAACCTTATGGCGGGCAATTCCTCGAATTCTGCTCCATTTCTTTATCCACATACCAAACATGCATGAAACTTACCAGAAAAAAGTACCGAATTCTGCCAATTTTTCTGCCGGCATTATCCGCCAAGGCCTAGATAGCGCATGAGAGCAACTTAGGCGTGGCTGGAAGCACTGGGAAGATAAACAAATTTAATCGTAAATCAACAGCTCAGTGGTGAAAATATAGCAAGTGTTCCCAAGAGAGAGAGAGAGAGAGAGAGCTAAACAGTGATACTGAGTATACATGATATTGCAATGCGGGCGGGGCGGCGGGAGGGTGGGGGGGGGGGGGGCGGGGCGGGGGAGACAGAAAAACACCTTTGCAATAGTTGATGGCACAAATCACGTATGACTAACGTAGACTTATCCACCTGTGCCTGATGAATTCTCAGCATGCAAGTATAGTTCAATGCATGGAACAAAAATAATGAAAGAGCAAAACTGATGATGATGCAGGCGGGGAGGGGGGGGGGGGGCAGAAGAACATCTTTGCAATAGTTGATGGCGCAAACCACGTACTAACGTAGACTTATCCACCTGTGCCAGATGAACTTCTGATGGAACAAAAATAATGAAAGAGCAAAATTGACAAAGGAGGAAAGGCACATCGTATCCTATGCCGGAGGCGTTGAGAGTGAGGGGGAGAGACAGAGAGACAGAGAGACACAGAGAGAGGGAAAATGGAGAGAAAGAGGGGGGGGAGAGAGAGAGAGAGAGAGAGAGAGAGAGAGAGAGAGTCACGATTACGGGTGAACGGCACACACCAGATTCACCATTTCCACATGAAGATCATGAGCCAGTCAGCGGAGGCCGGGATGTAGCATCGCTATTTGGAAGAAAGGAGAACTGACACCTCACTTGGATTTTCTGGCTGTTTTAATCATCCTGCAATATCAGCAGATCATATTGGCATGCAAATCCGAAGTTCACATGCCCCTGTACCGTGGGAAAACAAAACAAAACAGACACAAAAAGAGAAGTGAAGAGATCAAACAGATTGTCACATACAGGCAGACGACCGTATTTGCAGTAGAGGTAAAGTGATTGCCAACTGATTTTCCCAACTAACTGTGGGCTGCAGCACAGCTGGAAAAAAATCCTTCCCCTTTCAAGCAGGATTTGAACCTGGTACTGTCAGTCTCTCAATCATGGTCTTAGGCCATACCACTATGGCTGCCTGCTGTGGAACTAAACTGAAACATGATCATTAAGACCGGATGACCCTGTTATTTATGCACTTGTATTATTGTTAACCTTTTGAGCACGCGTCACGTTCTGATACGTCATGACCACTGCCACTGTGACACGCGTGACGTTCTAGAACGTCACGAGTCAGTACGGAACTACATCGATTCCGCACTTGTTCCGTGGCGTGCCGTCGAGCTGTACCGCTGCACAGAGGCAGTGTCTGCTCCAGCGCCAGGTGAGCCGGG